AACATGATATAATGCAGGGACAGTCGCCTGTATGAGCTGAGCATTTCAGTATGAGGAAGGTGGAACTTCGTTTCCTACTTTGCTCTGATGCAATCCGTTTCAGATGCCTTTGACATTTGAAGAGCTGAACAATAACAAGCTGCATACAATTAGGAAAACCAGTAAATGTGAACAATGGACTGAAAAGACCAATTGGAAGAAACACCAAGAAAACGCATCAAGGGCGAGTCCTACACAAAAGGCAGTGAGAACTCCTGGTAGAGATGAAAGGAATTTGACAAAGCAGAACAATTAAATACAGACTTTTAACTGTGTGATTTAAACACCAGGCCATCTCCATGAAATTACTTGCAATACCGGCCTCAAACAGCCCTGTGAGGATGGTGACTTAGAAGGAATCCTAGTCCTACCCTGGAGAGGTATCCAGAAAAATGGTTTCCAGAACATAGAAGGAAGAGGTTTGTGTCAAGCACAGAACAAGAAACCATAAGCATTTGCGAATAACGTCCATCTTAAACCTAATCTGCCCTCTAGAACAGATTCACATTCCTAATGGGATAACCAGTAGATGCCATTCCCACACCAAGGTCTTCTTCGGTCTCTGTCAGTATTGGACAAATGACCGAGTGAGATGTTCTTGATCCATCTCATTCACCTCAGACTGAAACTATTTTGAGCCTAGTCATTGAAGTCAGAGCTCACAGCACTGCAAGGAAGGATATCCACTGAAAACAGAACACTCTCCCACCCCAGTAGCAAAATGAAAGCAAAACTGCGAAATGAAGCAATTTGCTTATTTCGGAAGCCAAAGGAAACAGCTCATACCCATCACACGGCCTCCTTTAGCACAAAACCCAGTAGTACGTAGTATGTATTTTTAAAGCTCACACCTAACAGTGACACAAGTGAAAAACCCACTAAGTGGGCACACAGAAAATAGCTGTCAAAAGAGTTGACGCAGATCCCAAACCCTTCACTTTACAAGGAACATTTATGCAAATAAGAAAATTAAGCAGCTTCTTCCATGTGATGGAAATGGGTTGCTGAAACAGGCTGTAAATCTCCATCATCAGACATGTCCAAGACTCAACTCAAGAGGGCTCTGAGCAACCTAATCTGGTAAAACCTGCTTTGAGCCGGTTGGACTAGATGAGCTCCAGAAGTCCCTTCCAAATCCAAGTTATTCTGTGACTAGCGTACAACAGAAACCACTCCAAGCTGTCTTTAAAACACTTAATTCACCCAGCATGTGATAGGCAACTTCAGCAGGTCTCTTGAATCTGAAATTGTGCTCACCATGTCAAATGAAAACAACCTCAATTGACCTCTGCCATTTCAGAACTATTCCTACAATTTTATGCCATATTTTGTGCTTCCTGATTAAGCAGATTCCAGATTTTGCATGGATGTTTCACCACGTCTTGTACCTTTTGAGGCAGTCAGGACCCAGCTATTTTCTAGCTGATTACCATAATCATAGCTATTATCCAACTTGCCAAAATCAAACAGAAACTGAAGCCCTCTGTTTGTCTGTAGGTATTTAGATTTGCCTATGATTGGTTCCTCTTCCCACTGTTTCAAAGATGACTTTCCTGAGTAGCTAATGAGAGCAAGAGCTTGGCAGTAGGAATCATCTGAGAAGATGCCATGATAGTTATCAAGCACCATCACTAGTGAAAGGGTCAGAGGTTCCCTTGTGAGGTGGCTCCCCTGGCAGGGACTGAACACACAAAAAAGCCAGTCTTCTTCACATGTGCAATCACCATTCACCAGTGTCCAGGTTAACGTTGCAAACATGCAAGATGCTCTGTAGAAGCACAACAGAAGAGATTGTTTTTAAGCAAAGGTTCACTATATCCAAATAGCCCAAGTTTCTGTTAGACAAATAGAAAAGAGGTTAGAAGTAAAACAGATAGCACAGAAATACATCATATAATCAGTGCGAGGATAATGAAATGCAGCTTTCAGCTGCTCTTTTTCTTCACAAAATGATATTGCAAACAACAAGAACAGAATTACCACAGTGTGCTTCATTTTCTCTTCTGATTTTAATCCAAGGTTAATGCTCCTCTCTGTGGCTTAATACAGACATTTCATTAGGAAAGCATTACACTGTCGCTAGAATCAAGTTACAGGGCTGTTTTGGAAATTACATCAAAAGTACTGTTAGCATTTCAATTTGATAATAATTAACATGCCAAGGAGGTCCATCCCATTATAAGGAAATCAGAAACAAAATCCAACGCTAAACAAATTTCATCTAAATGGGAGCCTTTCAAGTCAGCAAAGACAAGTACAAGAATGTCTGGCTGTTGGCTTCAGCTGGTTTTGCAAGTAGAGAAAGACGACGTTCAGAAACAATTCTGAGAACTTTAAAGCATGTGAATACAGTCTCAGGGACAACTTTTAGTTTCTTTAAGGCTCGCAAAGCTGAATTAAAGCACTCAGCTTTGCAGGAGCAGAGTTACTGTTCACTGCAAATAGCAATTGGTGGTACCAAACAAGTGGGTTTATCTCAGAGTATTACCTGTGCTCTGCTGCAATGGCAAAACAAGCTTAAATCCACTTGTCTTTTAATCCACTTAGTTAATAGCAGAGACCAAAGCATCTGGCTGGAAACTCTTAGGAGAGGCTTCTCAAACAAATCACTCATTATGACTAAGAGAACTAATTAGTGGCCTCTCTCTGGCTTTGCGTGACTTGTTCAGCACTTGACTCCTGTGTTTCAGTACAATTCCTCAAGTAATCTGTAGCACTGGTTCCTGCAGCTGAAGCACAGCTTGGAGAGAGAAAAATTAACGGAAATGATAAGGTTTAAAATATGTTTTTCAACCCATGGCTTTGAAATCTCCCCATTAGTACAAACTGCTGCAATCCAAGCATTGTGTAACCTTTTCTTTACTCCTATTTTTATACCTTGCTGTGAGAATTGGCTCAATGGGCAATTTCTCATGCTTTCAGGGGACTGGGAAATGAAGGAAACCCTTCTGAACCCACACCCTTCACAAACTGGGATAGAAAAATAGAAAGCTAAGAATGACAGGAAGAAAAAGAAAGTAATAAAGAAAACAGCATGGAAAACAGCCATGAGAACTGAGGCAAGTGCAGCAAAGATTACAATTCTCTCAACAGTTTGCAGCTCTGAAGGAAAGCAGGAAAATGTGGATGCTCAGACTAATAACATACCCTTCCTCCCCCTCTTTTATGTGCTTTAAAATACTAGGGGAGTTATACTGGAAGTCTTCCTTTGCAATTGATTTAGAAAGGAGCTACATGTGTAATTATGGAAACCAGGACGCAGCGCAGCACAGAAAAGCTCATCTGCTGTACCAGCCTGCATGTAAAAGCATACTGGTTCCCACCTCCTGAACTGGACACAGTTAGAAGACGTTTCCCTTGTGTTTTCATGATTTTCCCAGCATCTGCAAACCACACCATGAAGTCAGAAACTCGATCAGACGGAGAATGTGTAACTCTAGAAGCTTTTTCTGTAGCTTAAGCCACAATTGAAAGACATGGAAGAGCTGAAGCTCCTAGTACCTCTTCATGGGGCTGATCTGCTTGTAGTTATCAGCAGCTCAGGTTTATTCTTCCTAAGCCCCTCCATAAACCCAAGAGGATGAAGAAGCAGCAGCAAAGAAGTGCTCAAGGGACAAGATCTGTGATGAAAAAAAAACATCACTGGGATAAGAAATCTCCAGAGAAGCAGAGGAAGTTGTCTGCTGGAAACAGTTTGACACCCAAAGCCCAACTCCTGTCGCACCAGGCGGATGAAGAAATCCAGTGGGGGCACAAAACACAAAAGCCTTTACCTAGAGACAGGTTGACCTCAAAATCAACATAAACATGGGAAAACATTGAGCTCCGAAGCTCAGATTTCTCCCTACCCTAACCCCAGAGTGATTCAAATGATTCAAAATATGGAGGTTTGCTCACAGGGGTGACTTTCCCAACACATCCACCACAACCTGAACTGCTGGATTCCCACTCTTGACACGATGGGATTGATTTTCACCCTGCAATTATGTTTTAAGAAGGTCAGAGCAGCACGTGGAATGCTGTTGCAAGGTGTAGACAAGCGAGTCAAGAGGGCATCAAGCCAGCTGACGGCTTCACCAATTGCAATCATAGAATCATAGAATAGTTAGGGTTGGAAACAGAAAAAAGCCCAAACTCTCTAAACCATTCATGGGCAGCACAAAGGGTAACACTGCACAATGGAAATAAGCTATTTTGAGCAGATCTGTACATTATGAGAAGGTCTGAAAATATTATAAAGGTCTTTTGGCAGCTATTTTCAGTGTCAGCAGGATACTGTGTCACCAGGTCTGTTCTGCAGGTTGGTGGCATTCCCAAGATGACTTCATATTTAGACTGACTTTCACACAGGGTGCATTTCCTGCATTTGTCTGCAAGCAAACCGCTGTGAGAAGGTGTTGCTAAGAAGAATTACACCTGTTAGTGAGTCCTCCAGGAAATAACACAAAACCTGCTTTCAAAGCAAGGCAGTTGTAAACTCCTCACAAGAAATGCTGCCCACAGAACGTGTTACCCGGGGTTAGCACTTCCCATGCACAAATGGGTAGGATTTGTGGGAAAAAAAAGGGAATAATTTAGACCAATTTGGAACGGTGAGCTGCAATTTGATACAATAGTGCATTGATACAGCATACTTTCAGTCCAAATATGGCAATATAGTGCAATTCTAAAAATAAAAGTGAATCCCTTGTGATACCCAGCCCTTTTGCTGTGTTCATTTCCTTTTAGGGCTCAAGTTTCCCACAGGAAAATTATAGAGAGGAGTTTGCCCACAGTGCCATGCATCATGTATGGATAAAGCATAAACACGGAACGCACGCTGGAAGGTTTTCCTGCTCTGGGCAATTACGCACAAGCCAGACTATTTAGAGCAATCAAGATAAGAGGAGAAAACCCCACCCACTCCCATAGGAACCCACCTTTATCGGCACAGCTACACAGAAGTCATGCGAGACAAGACGTGAAAACATGTGACGTATCATTTATTTCTTAAATGTATTCATGATCCATTCAGACCGTTCAAATAAAGTGTACAAGTGCATTTCAGAATAAAAAACTACACTCTTCACACAGCTCTGGAGAACACTACATCTCATCAAGAAACGTGAAGCAAAAAACTTCCTATTAAACCACCCATGCATCCTTTGGCTACAATAATATCACTGATCAACAAGTACTGCTATTCAAAGTCTGAGTTTCCCTTTAAAGAGAAGGAGCATCCCAAAATATGCTACCCCTTTCCAGAGACCTCTCTTTAAAGAGAGAATAGTAAATAAATTAGCTAGGCTTTTAGGCAAAACAGTAAGGCTACTTAGTACTGTTGATGCATGATCCATACATTTGGAGAACAGGCAATCCTAGGCTATGTGAAATGGGTCAACAGCCCTTGAAAGTTTAGTAGTATCAAGATTACATCAATCCAGAACAAATGGCAGACAAAAAAAAGATGGAACCAGTGGAACAATCACTGAAGAATGTGCAGTTTCTCTGAGGATGGGAAGTGCTGATGACAGGGTCAGAAAAGTGTTTATAAAATCCGCTAAGAACCACATTGACACCCTTAAAATTACATATTGTACAAAGCCCTAAATTGTGTGACTGTACCACTACTGCCATGGTGAACTGCCTGGGCTAAAATACATATATATGTGTACTTTACATATATATGTGGGTATATGTATTTTAAATACATATATGTATTTTACATATATAGGTGTGTGTATGTATTTTAAATACCTATACGTATTTTACATATATATGCATATGTATTTTAAAGCAAGCAATTTAACATGGCAGTAATGGTACAGCCACCGAGTACACATATATATAAGTATATACATCTACAGCAATAAGGAAACAAGCCAAGAGACGTATGACACAGCAGGGTACAGATCATCTCAAAGGGAATAATACATTTCTTTGAGTTTTAACAGCTCATAGCAAAATTACCTCTTGGAAATAATTACGCAAAGATTGAGAATCAGATATTTACATGCTTCCGATTTATCTCGTTCCATTTAATATTGAAAAATATGCAAGTATTATTTTAAATCAGTAACATTTGTCGTTTTTGGCTCAACTGTAGTTCTGCTTATTATTAGTCTGAGTCAAAAAAATCAGCTACAGAAATGTCTATTAAAACGACGGGGGAGAAGAACCCCTTCTTCCCTGTCTTTCAACAGCAATTCTGAGTTGGCACAAAATACATCATATTCTGGAGCCACCATAACTCTTCCTCAGCTGCCCTGCACCCCAACACACCCCCCTCCCCTTCTCCTGCAGAGTTCAGAACAGGGCAAACCCCAGCAGACATGAGGAACATCGAGGAACACAGCCCCAGCCGCTGATACTCCCCACTGTGTCAGAATTAAACACAGCATTAGAAAGTCTTAAGGGTGGGACTGGCTCTAATTCACCTGTTTGCTTTTCTAATCTGCTTTGGTGGATTTTTTCCCTAGTTCTTTATAGCAGGGGTTTCACACTCACACCTCTTCCTCATCTTTTAATACGAAACGATTTCCAGCATTAAAAGGTGCACAAAGTTCTGACAAACACACACGTACACATCCTTACCTGTGATTTTGTCTGGTTTTTGCCTTCTCACTAACACTCAGGAATAAACTACCAGTTGTAACGCTACTCGTGTAAGGAGCTGGACTCAAAACTCCTTGTAACAACCCTCTGACAAATGTGAAATTGCCACCGAACACACTGAACTAATCTCACCAGTGGCTTCTGCTGTACCAGTTACCATGAGGGTGTAAGGAGACGGGTGGCACACAAGGAAAAGCAAGCATCCTTTAAAGTAAGATTGCTCCACTGTGTTTTGTTCAGCACAGCAACCTAAAAGCACATGCACACACAGCCTCCCATGCTTGCAGTTTCATTGTAAACAGCATGTGGAAAGAACAAAACAATTAAAAAAGGTACTAAGACAATTCTGAAATCCCTGAAGAAAAGACATACCCACGAGTATTAAGAACAGTAAAAAAGCTCATCATTAGCAATTGCAAACTCGTTTCCATCCTGTTGCATTCATTAGAGGAATACAAAATTGAATCTAGTGTTTACATGCTAGAATTACAATAGAAAGTAGCTTCAAAGGTTACATATGGAGAGAAATTTATCAGCATAGGACCTTGCAAAACACTGTGCTGTACAGCATTTCTGAAGACAGAAGTCTGTGAAGACAACGTATGCGATTGCAAATCCTTTCAGACAGTTCAAAAGCGTGGCTGGAGGTAATGCTGCTTCCTGTTATCTGAAAGGATTAACTGCACCATTATTTTTAGTAGGTTTTAATGACAATTTCACCTCAAGAAATCCCTAACGCCTCCAAACCCGAGGTGATCAGAAACACGCAGGTACCTTACAGCCCTCCAGGGTTTTATTTCTTTGTACACTGAACAGCAATTCATCGGACAGCATCTACAGAAAATGTCTTTAAAAAATGTCTTTATGAAATACTTTCAATACTCAGTAATGCTAATATTTAAAAATACTTCACAGTGTGGTACTAATGGAACTTCATCAAACGAGCAACTCGAGTTAGCTAAAGCTCAAAGCCTTACATCATATTAAAATAGTCCAAAGATTCCACACACACGCACACACACAAAATCACTAGCACTATAAATATACCTAAGCCACTTTAGTGCAAAGTCTGGGTTTGCTTCCCCTGACAAATCCCTCTATATTCCTGCCAGCATATTAAAATGTCATCCTTTACTAATCTAATTATTGATTTTCAAGGATTCATTTACAGCTGAAATCCCAGAAGAACTTTTTTCAATTTACCATAAAAGCAATGACTTGGTTTATTAAGCATCTGATTGCTCGTATCACGTGACTGGTGTTAACATGTAAGAATGACTCACGTATGCACAGCAAGATTCGAGTTCATCTTTACAAGGAGTTACTTCAATTTGTTTAGCTTCTTAATGAAACGACTCCGGCAGTGACCACCAGAGAGAAGCCAAAGCTTTGAGTCACAAAACTGCTATCCTCATCTCACAAATCCATAAAAGAAAGGAGTCAGAGCAAGAAGTTTGGACTCCTTTTTGCCTTCCTGACAGCCCAGGGGTACCCTCGTGCTGTACCGCAAGAGCTGGCCAAAATTCCAACTACATCCTAATGCAATGTGCATCCAACTCAGCACTTCTAAAAACTTCTTCAGCAAATAAAGCTGCTGCTTCTCAACAGTCCCACAGTGACCTGGCCTCCTGTCTCCCCCCAGAGCAGTGCCTGCACCTCCTTCAATCAGCTCCCCCTCAACCTCTTCAGCACAAACCAAAGATTCTTGTTTTTCTGTTTAAGTATCCACAAAGTCACTGGCTAGAGATTCAGTTTTGACAGGACAGGTTGCTGAAGCACACCAAAGGCTGCAAATAAACAACCTGGATCAGGATACAGGAACATTAACTTAGGTTAACATTTTCATTAACTGCTAAAGCTCAAGAGATGCAAAGAAGATGGGGGTGAAATCCACAAACACTTGCATTTGCAACCACCACTAAATGTATGTGGCTTGTTTTAAACTCTGCAATGGCAATAAAAACTGAAAGGTGACATAAGTCAATATTGAGTGAAGAACCATCAGAAAGCTGCCTGCAGACACAGAGCACCTCACCTGTCATAGAAACAAAACCAGGTGAGAAGCTGGCTGAACAAACTGCATCACATCAGATCATGTCCCCATTGCTTCAACACTTCCGATGGCCAACCGTGACACAGGCTGGTATTATCCCATTTTATCTGTACGGAAATGGAGGAGCTGGATCACCACACCACATCCAAAGGGAATCCAAAGGGAACCTCCACCAAATGCATTTCAAGCCCACACTATTATGAAGTCTTATGGGTCCCAAAGTAACAGATCTAATACACTGACCTGAGACTACAGCCACATACAAACTACAGTATTCACAGCATAAATAATATGAAAGATGAAAAAAGCCCTATGTTACCATGCTCTAGAGCTCTAGATTTCAACAAAAGGCAGGGAAAGAGAAGAGCAGAAAACAGACTGAACTAAAGATGCCAACTGGACAGGAGGGAGGAAGCGCAGCTTCACCAGAACAAATGGACTCAGCTCAGGTGTTTCTCCACCGTCATGGCCCAGCCTCTCCCCTCCTGGAAGCCTGAAAGCATTTGCAGTGTCCATTCTTTAATTTGCAGAAGGGAAGATAGCGACTCTTCCTGCATTTGAGTATAAAAACCACAGAGGCCTGCAGACCTCTTGGATCTCAGCAGAACATCACTTACAAACATGTGCTTTGCCAACTTCAGATGGTGTTGTAGTGAGGTAAAATCCAAGTCTATCCTGAATGACACCACAGAAAGGACATGTCTTTGTATTCTGCAAAGTCATAAAAGGGAAGAACTTTAGGAAGAACCTAAACTAAACAACGAAATAAGAGCCAGGTCAGGCAAATGGTTCAGCAGGTGCTTCAAGTACACAGAACCAAAAATGTGTTGAAACAACACAAAAGCCCTCCAAGACCTCTACCTCCTCTTATTAAAATTAACTATACTAGATGAATCAAGTAATGGAAGAATTTTAAATGCACCTTCTGTTTGTTATGTATGAAGGTAGACTCCTCTGCTCAGATATTAGTCCCTAAGAAATATGTTTTATAAAGCACCAACCTGAATTAGAAGTTCTGCCAACTTCAAACCCTGATGTAGAGCAAGATCAGACTGAAATGTTTCAGACTACCTGACTCATGAAGGTTCAGTACACGTTATCATCACAGCACTTGGTAACACCACAAGGAAAACTCCGCTGATTAAATACTGAGTGTTTCCATCTCGCACCACACACAGGCCTTGGAAGCGTCTTTTCCAGAACAGAAACTAATGAAATTTAGGACTTCTTACAGGTAAAACCTTTGTATGAGCAGGAAAAGAACAACGCCATAGAGATGCAGCATGAGTCTGACATCTGGAAATCCTCATCCAGGTCTGCTCTAAGCCAGACTCTGCACAACCTCGTGCCCCTGTTGTGATTCTCTGTGCCTCAGTACCTTGGACCACTTTCCTCTTGTCAAAGATCTGTGACAAATATTCATGACTGCCCCTTGGCACACAGAATTCCCACAAGGAGAAACAGATTTCGGAGTGATAAGAAGCTTAAAAACAAGTACAAAACCCCCTAAAACCCATAAAAAATACTGCAGAAACTGGTAACATTTAATAAAACAAACCTAACAGCAAAACACTCGTTTCACACAAAAGATACTGTTAAGTTAAAAAAAACCTGTCACTTGGTGATTATAAAATAAAACAGTATTTCACAGATTTTCTCCCAATCTATTTGGAAAATAATAATATAATCATAAACTAAACATCCAGTAAACTTTCTATTGAAAGCAAAAAACCAACACGAAGCAAACGATCACCTTCTGAGAAGTTGTGCATATAGAAATCCTTCCCATGGTACTACAAACATGCCACTGAACTGCAAATTGAACCTTCTAGCAGCTTAATTGGAAAGTGAGGCAGATAACCCTAATTAAATAATAAAGAAATTATAATCTGAGATAGAACTTCAAAATTAGTTCATTTAAATCATATCACAACACACAATTCTTATGAAGATGTGATTTCTATATTCTCCTCGGTGTGGCATTTCTCTGTGCAATGCTCTTGATACCAATTTTGAAAGCACGAGGCACACTTGCATACAAATATAGCCAAGAAAGGATTAGTTTCATATATACAGGGATGAAAATGATCCAACTGGAAAGTTTGCTGCCGAAAACAATTCATAGTGCAGACTGTGATGAAAAGGACCTACTGTGCCTCGTGTTAACTGCATGACAAAGGATGTTAATGGTCTGCTGAGCAAACAAGGTAATGTAGTTCACAATCATCTCTTCCACGGTTGGCACTGTGAACAAAATTCACCCTGTGCAATTGCACTGAAGATAACAGACTCAGATGCTGTGAGTATTTAAAACATGTAATCACAGACAAACCTAGATCAACATTAAATTAACTTAGAGACAAAAGTAATTTAAAGTTTTTTTTTTAAAAAATCAATAAATTAACATGGAAAAAAAGAGAAATATTTGACACTAACACTAAGATGCTGAGGCAAAAGTGTCTGTACAAACACTGGAGGAAACTTGAATGCATCAATTGGCTGCAACTCGTCTTGGAGGCTTCCAGATCCTGATTTTCACCTCTCACATCTGAGCTGATGAAGACTCTGAGATGAGTAAGGCAACTGAACAAAAGCCTGGCTGTCAGGAATGTTATAAGCGAACCTTAGCTGCAAAGCAACAACAGCTGCAAGCATGCATCTGCATCTGCAACAAACACTACGCTTCAAGTACAATTCTAGTCTTATAGCTTGAAGCAGCAACTGCTTCGTCTCGAGTTAAATCTCTATGCCATGAGTTAGACTCCTTCCTACTTTATAGTATTTTCCATATTCTCAAGAACTAGCACAAAATGCTTCTATTTAAACCCTCTATTCATGCCATGAAAATGTAAAATAAAAAGCAACAATCTTTGCTCTCCAGCTCCCACCGAACCCTGAAACTGCCATTTTTAGTGGTTTAGGCCCTAGCACATGCTTTTCTTCCATTAAGTTTAATCAAATACTATTTCAATTATAAATTGCATCACTTCAAAGCCTTGGAAATGTTAGATAAGGTGAAGAGTCAGAGAAAAAGCTATTGGGAGTTTACCTGAGAGGCTGTTCCAAAAATACCACACACACACACTTTGATATTAGTGACTAAAGCCCTTAAATTGTCCCCCAAAGCCCACCTTTGCCATAATACCTGCAAAACACCCGAGAGCAATTAGCCAGCTGATGTGCTGTGAGCTTATTATACCACTTATAAATGACTCACTACACCCTTACACTCTGTCCCCTCCACGGCTGTCTGTGTCTCTATAACCAAAACCCAGACTGAGAGAGCTCTGCAAAACAGATCAGCTCTCCCATGGCTGTGCAGGGATCACAGCATAAGCCCTGGCTCTAGATACTGCCTTAATTCAAAAAGATAACAAGAAATGTCATGGTGAAGGCACCAGGGTTTAGACAACCTTTGTTCTTACCATTTCAGATCAACTATAGAGGAAGTTTATCTTGAGAGGTTTGAACTATGGATAAAATATGTTGAAAGCAGACCAAGAGATGGCTTAAAGCTTCCTTGTAACGGAGCTGTCAAGCCAAAACTAGGCAGCAACAGCAGGGGGTTCAGCCTCACATGCACATCGGTAAGAGGAACTCATGTCTATCAGCGATGAGCACTGACAAGTACAAGCCATGCCAGCCATCCTGCTGCTCTCCTCACCAGCAGCCTCACAAGACCATACTGGAGTAATGCGGATGGGCAGCAAGGAGGACGGTCTGTAGCAATCCATGTGTGACAGGACAGAGATACAAACTGTTGTCCTCCAGGGCAACACACGGAAGATGAGAAGCCAGGGCTCACAGCACACCAGAGAGGAGGGTATGTGTATGCTTGCAGGAGGGACAGGGTACTAAGAAGAGGATGATCTCGGTCCGTAACAAGTTAGACCTGAAATCAAAAATACAGTCTTCCCTTTGGCCAAGAGAATGACCCCAATCCCAAAAACACCCACATCATTTTCCCTAGTATTTTTCCATTTCTGCTTTAACAGCACACACCACCTGTAACCCACAAGCTCACAGAATTCCCATGGCTCAGCCCAGTGTACCCACTGGAAGCACGAGGAAGGGAATAAACTGCGGACGGTCACGGTGTGCAACCTGCTCTCCAACCAGAGGGGTGGTGGGGGATATCCCTGTGCCAGGCACAGGGTGAGATAAGACAACACAGGCTGTAATCCGTTCTTACAGGAATACTTGGTTCACTTTCACTTTCCAGTATGGCATCAGTAAAAAGACAAGGATATTCCTTAGGATAAACTAACCAATTGGAGGGGCATAGTGCCTTCTTAACAGCATTACAGTACTCGCAGAGATTTAACCTCAGCTAGCTTGAAAAAGCTGTGGTCAATGAGGTTGTTTCTCAGACACTGACTTTGACCAGTTAGATATGCCTTTGCTAACAGGATTTAGCTCTTGCTATATTCGAACCATCTTTAATCCCATGAAGGCTAAAGAAAAATGTCTCTGATTTAGCTCTGTGCACTTATGAATAACTCAAATACTACAGTTAAATTTACAGCATAGTTCCCTTAGCTGTTTAGAAGACAATTGTTTTCTTTCCTTTCCCCTTAAGTTCTAGTATGTAAAATATCAGAAGAATTTAGATTAAAAAAAAAAAAAAGGGACATGTTATTTTTAAAGTTGTTCTTGAGAAAATTTCCACATACAAAACTGTGGCATTTCTCCACTGGTTTGAGCATAATTTCACATGTTGGCATCATCCTCAAGTGGCTGCCACAACTCTGGTATCATAAAGCAACACGTATTTTCTCTTAGCTTATCCAAACACATTTTATTTAACTGCTAAATTTGGTCTGATCCAAGTTTTTCTTCTTCCTTCCCAGCAAACAGGGAAATGCAGATGCTGTGCTCTGATGGCACACATGCCTCCTACCAGAGCAACGAGGCAGGGAAGCCAGGGCAGTTCTCCTAAGCGCAGGACTTCGGCTCGCATCGCTGCCCTCACGGCTCAGTAGGACCCTAAGGTCACGCTCAAATGTTCACACTGGTCACTGCTGTTCTAGAAGTCCTGTCTAGATAGCACTGAATAAACAACACTGTTTGGCCCCTTCTGTTACGATGCTGGAACACTGTGTCAATATACTTTGGCATATATTAAAAAAATCCCTGTGATATACCATATACTGTGACATTTCCACTTCAGATCTATCATTTACATGTGAAGCACGAATCTTGAAAAGAACCTAGTAAAGCTGTAAGAAAGACTACATTTTGCTGAAGCTCTCAGACACCCACTCCATTCAGTCACACCAGCTGGAGAGGTAAGTGTCAAGATACAGCTTTATTCTTAAAAATGAATATGGAGGTGAAACTCCACAGCCTCCTCCACAGCAATATTTTTTAGCCACACTGATATGTGCTCCTGATTCTTCTATGTCAGCAGCATTTCTCAGAGACCTTTTTGCAAATCTGGACATCTTAAAATCATATTTAACTTATTTTTGCTATTTATGGAATTGTCCCTGCACTTCCCAGTCCAGCTGATAGGAGTCTTAGACATGACATCCATTGGAAGATCTTTTGCTCCTAGAGGTAGAGGAGTCCTTAGCTACCCTCTGTCTAGCACAAGAGGCACAAATAGCCCCCGAGAGCCGTTTAAGCCCCTTCTGAAAGACACTGTTGGAGAGACTGTAAATAACACAGTTGCAGAAGCTGTTGCTAATGGCAAGCCAAGTGGTCAAGAAGGACGCAACGCGGTTACTATAGACATTGGAGCTCTCCAGCAGAAAATAGATGATGTAGGGCAACCAGAGGATGTAGAAGACACTGGTGATGCGGAAAAGAACCATGGCATAGCGCTTGTCCGGGCAGGGCTGTGCCTCCCCAGCCTCCCCATCCTGAGAGCTGAAGCGCACTCGCCTCTCGTTGATCTCCTTGGTGTGCTGCTGGCAGATGCGGAAGATGTTGAAGTAAGTGAAGCAGACGATGAAAGCAGCCGGGGCGTAGAGCATCACCACAATGAAGAGCGTAAAATAGGGATCGGTGTTCCAGGAATTGGCACACCACTGAAACACATCCCCGTGATATCCAGGCTTTCCCCAGTGAAAGGAGGGTAAGAAGACCAGGCAGGAGTAGAGCCAAATGATCAGTATGCAGATTCGAAGTCTCCATGGGGTCACCAGCGTGTTGTAGGTCAGCGGCTTCGTGATGGCGATGTATCTGTCAATACTAATGCATGCCAAAGAGGCCATGGAGACGCTCTTCAGCACTGATACCACATAACCAAAGATTTGGCAAACCAAGGACTCACTTAAAACAATAGGATAGTGCAGCAGAGACAAAGAAGGCACCAGACAGCTCACGCCCACCAGGAGGTCAGCATACGCCATAGTCTGGATGAAGTAGCTGGTGGTGTGGTGGTTCAGCAGAGGTGCACAGTGAAAGACAAATATCACAATGATGTTGCCCGAAATAATCAGCACCATGAGGAACACAATAATAACCACTTCCAGGAGGCAAAAATTGATGGTCTCCAAATAGCTAATGGCCAGGAGACAGAACGGCCGGCCACTCTGGTTGCCAACCAAGGAGGAGTTCATCTTGAGCACTGCAGTGATCTCTTCACTTCATGCTCCTGCCTGCTGCCTGCAGCCACTCCAGGCAGCTGCTGTCATTGCGGCTGGTGGTGTGTGTGTGTAGCAATGTCAAAACCGGAGCTCCAGTCCCCAGGGCTGCTCCAGATGCTGCTGCTGCTGCTGCTGTGCATTGTCTGCAGCACAACTCCCCGGTAAATCCGGCTCCCCGCCACTCCCGGTGCGCCGGGACCCAGCAGCGGGCATGGCAGCAACTTCACCCACCGCAAGGAGATGACTGATGTTAAAGCCCTCCTGGGCGGGCTGCCTCGCCGGGGAGGGATGAAGGGTTGGGGGAAAAGAGGGAGAAAGAACCTTCACCGACCCAGGACGAGAGTGCTCCCGAAGGCTGACAGAAGAGAAGGGCAAAGTGGTTTACAGAGCCGCCTTTCCCCCCGTGCTACCACCTCCATCGCCCCGCTTCTTCCCCACGCCCTGCTACAGCGCTTCCCCGCCGCCGCCCGCCCCGCTCCCCACCGGGCTACCGCGGCGCCTCCGTCCCTCCCGTCCCCTCCCCGGGGCGGCAGCAGCCTCCCGGCAATTGCTGCCGCCGTCCATGCGGGCGGAGGGATGCGCGGCGGGGAGGGGGCTCCAGCCCTTCTCTCCTGGCTCCATTTTGCACGACGCTTTTGTTCGCCGCCTCTCCCGGGCCGCGCCGCTCCGGCCCCCGCCGCCGCCCGGGCCGCCCCCCGCCCGGCCCCGGGGCGCAGCCCCGCTTCCTCCGCCCCGGCCCCTACCTGCCGCGGGGGGACAAAAGCCCCGGAGCATCCTCGGCCGAGCGCCGGCACGGTTGGCGTGGGCTCCGGCCGCGGCGATGCGGAGCCGGGGGGAGGGGACGGCGGGGAGGAAGGGGAGGGAGGCGGGCAGGAGCGCGGCGGAGGGCGCGGCGCCGGCGGGGACCCGCGGGGAGCGCGGCCGCAGCCCCCCGGGGAAAGGCAGCGCCGGCCGCAGCCTCGGAAATGCGGGTTTAGCCTCAAAACGCGATGGGCAAAGCGCTGGCGGGGGGGGAGAGATCACCCTGCGCGACCCGCAGCATCCGGGGGGGTCCCCCTGCTCCCCGCCACGGGCTCTGCCCCTGCACACCCCAACCTGCACACACACACACCCTGGTCCTTCGGACAGACAGACAGACACACACCCACCGCACACCCCTGCTCCTCCTCGCAGCACCTCTCTCGGCCAGGGAAACGGCAAGCGTCCAAGCAAGGATGTGAATTCAAACCATGAGTCGTAATTTAAGGCTTTTCCATCCGAGCCCTCTTGGGGAAATAGTTATTCATAGAATCACAGAATGGTTTGGGTTGGAAAGGAGCTTAAAGATCATCTAGTTCCAACCCCCTGCTACGGGGCTTGGACACCCTCCACTAGACCAGGTTATTATTAAATGTGTCTTTCCTAGGTGTAGCTTTTGTTGCTTAGGAGACACTTGAAACCAAGGGCAAAGCTGAGAACTGCATCCTACTGCTCATCCAGATGTTGCTCCAGGTAGGGAAGCACCTCCGGCATACATGTACACAGAAGACAAAGGCATCGCTATCCCTGACAATCCTGAGGCAAGCTACACCAAAGTAGACAAGCTACACAACCCAGCGCCATTCCAGAGAGTAAACAGACAAGAGATTCCCAACACAAGCACTTGTACACACACCATAAGCCAATACCATCACGCACATGTAACCAGAAAAACCTCATCATGGGAGCTGGTCTTTGAACCAATCCAACCAGTAAGAGACTCATCAGCAACTGAAGTCCCTTTGTCAAAAAGGCCGTGTGAAACTGGAATCCTCCCGAGCCAGAATTCCACCAGCACCAACAAACCCAAGAGTTTGGTGAACCTAAGCTAAACATTTGTCACTGCAGAATACCTAATGCCAAACGAATTGCAGGCAAGGGGATAGACCTCAACACTGCAATGCTCGGTGATTTTAGCTGACCTGCAAGTAGATAAAACCATTTTAAGACACACTTGTATTGGTAAAAAATCTGGGCTGGACAATAGCATGACTTGGCAGATTTGCGCAAAAGCCTAAAAACAAAAAGTTGGTGTTCCTGCCCCATCTTTACCCCCAAAAAGATCTCTTTACTTTTCCTTGTAATTTATGGCGTTTCTACTCATGGCGACTGAAGTACTAGAACTAGCTCAGAAACACGAAGTTTGTATTCAATTTAGGCAAAGGTTATTCTGGCTATACAAAAACCAAGCTCTGATCGAATTACTGCTCGAGAAACGATCTATCTTTCCAAAGCAGAGAATGATTTACATATCAATTGACTCAAATACTATTTCTAGATCCTTAGGCATGGATAGACACATTATAAACATCCTTAAGAAAACAACAGACATTGAACTTGGTATCTGAGATGTATAAAGACAAGATAGCATTGGAAATCTTGAGGCTCAACAAAACAACATTTGGTTGCTGATATTTCACAACAAAAGATGTACCACTGAATCAAACCTCCTCAGTGCTTAGATTTTTATTACAAGGAGAACTGAACTCCTGTAGCTGACAGGTATTTCTGGGGGAGAGCACTGGTTTTCCCTCCAGCTGACATTCTATTGTTTCCCCAAAGCTGGGAGTAATAACTCTATTCAGAGTTTATGCCAACGTACTCCTACCTGCTTAACACACCCATGCCTAAACCAGCAATATCTCAAGCTAATTCTCTTAAGCACCAGAAGCCAGATCAAAGCAGCCAACAAAGGGTGTAAATGGCTACTGGAAGGTAACTGGGTTGGAGCTACAGTCCTTGGTCAAGTCCCCAAACTACTACGAAGAGCTGCTTCTAAAAGACATCAAAATGTGGTTCCAGTGGCTGAGGTCTGTGAGAGACTGAAAATACTTCCATCTTGTAGAGACTTCTCCCACTCTATGCAGTGATACAAAACAATCTCATCCGAGACTATTAAAAGGTATTCAAGAAATCAGTCAAAGTTACGGTGAGAACTCTTGGGAAAACTACTGCTTATAAAAGATAATTAAACTTTGATCACCACGTGATCAAAACTAATCAAACAAGGGATCTAGAGGTGCAGACATGCTGACAGCAAAGCTACGTCAGACTTACACACCATGATTCACAGGCGTACCTTAGGTTTCATTTCAGCTGATGGTATGCAACCTTTGTGCTCCTGAAAATTAAATGTATTCCTCTTAATTTAAATGAACATATGGAAATGTGATTGCCATACAAGTGGAAAATAAGTGTTAACCACCCACAGCTAAATTACTGTTCCATTTTATGCCACTGATGAAGCAACACATACAGTCAAATAACGGTACTGACATTTGAATCTATTTCTTCACTAAACCCCAGTATCATTTGCACCAAGACAGATGAGTGTATCTGGTAGAACTTCTGTGTTCTGTAATTCCTCTGTGCACGGAGATAAAAAAGTGGGAATGTGAGAAACGGGCTAGCAAGAGTCCTGCTATCTCCCATCAGGCCTTGAATTTCCACCAGAAATGGTGACCCTGGGGTAACATTCCAGGCCCCGTCACTGGATTATTTTCTGTCATTTTATTTTGTTTGTGCCACAAGATGTCCCTCTCACGTCGTAATTTTCTTAATATAGTGTATTTATCTGGTACAACAGTTCCTAGTTTTTTCCTTTTGACATTATTTTCTCCCACACAGACCTATATCCAAAAGCTTTTCTTTTCTCCTCAATATTGTAAATGTCAAGCTCTTTACATTTTGGTATTATGAAGAACTTCCCCACTAAGAGCTCAACACTACCCAAGAGGTTCAGTAGTTGTATTAATCCTTTTGTAAAGCCTTGTCTGAGAAGTGGCTATTGCCCGTTTTGCTTTGGATCATGATTTTTTGGTTATTTATAACTTGTGTGGCTCACTTCACAAGTTTTCTACTCAACACCACTTTCCATCCACCTGGGATTGTCAAAAACATGAACTGTTTTCCCTGCAGATGTCCATTAAACCTGGAGCAAGTCCCCATGTCTCTTCTACCTTTCAGTGGCTGGGAGCCTGAAGATTAACAGCCAGAACCATGATTGCCAAAGCCCTACCAGGAACAGATGCCTCTCAAAGGGATTGTCTAGATCATTTTACCTAGAGTTTGCTTTCTGTCCTCAGTAGGGACATGACCTTAATTCACTGGGCTGGCTTTTATCCACACTCCCCACCACGAGCATGGCAATCTGGAGTTGCTAAAAGCTTTATTATTGCACACAGATGGTGTGCAAACTCTCAAAAGTAATCTGTGGAAACACCACAATGGTGAGACTTAGACACTACTGCAGTAACAAAAGCACAGAGTACAAAAACCCAGCTAGTGTTTAGTACAGAGCTAAGGGCAAATAATTAAAAAACACTGTCGTGATGACTAGAATGCAACAAGCACACCTCGAGGCACGGCTCCAACACCATTTTTAATGCACAACCCAGATTCAAGAAGAGACCTAGACGCAGCCTTCACTGGTAGAACACAACAGAAGACATTTCCTTTTCAATCACTGAGCAGCCACAGATCAAAAGCAAAGTAAAAAAAACACCCTTGCAGCAGTTAATTTGCAAAAGAAGGCAGAAAGAACACAGATTTGCTGAGCACCACGGGCCAGAACTGCACGGGAAAGCAAACACCAGAAGCAATCCTGGGGCGCCTGCATCCAACCCCCTGTGCACAAGGGGAAAACAAATCCCTGACAGAGGCCAGAAGGTTTGGAAGCAGCTGTCAACACAGCTCCTTATTAACTGGGGGCTGTGCTACCGCATGGGGTCATGAAAAGCCTGGCGGAAATCAAACGCAGTGACAGGAATAGAGGTCAGCGTTAAGAGAGAAGGGGCACTGGATTATGAGTACTCGAACAGGTTTATAGCATCTCCTGCTCGCACCGAGGAGCAAAGGTTTGTCATCAACTCCATGTGCTCCTGCACTACACCACAGCAGTTATTCTCAGGTAAACTGATCTCAGTGCATGGTAATGCAAATAACTGCATGCTTGCTACAGAAGAACTTCTATAGGTGACATGCAAGACATGGTGAAGCATGATGGGGACAGTAAGGCAATAAATTATAAGGAACTCTTGCCTTCCCATAATTAACAAAAGTATTTTTCCCCCCCAGACACATTTACTTCTGTGCATTGCTGCATATTGACTGTAACCAAGCTGCTATTTTAAGAGCAGTAAGAATTAGTCACAGTAGAACTCCAAAATTATCAAATAATCTGTGAAAGGCATGGAAATAAAGACTTCAGGCCAAAGAGCACTCCAGCATTATTATACTTTTAGTACATACAGTGGGTCTGCAAACATTATCTTCCAGGGTCTTGAATTCATGTTCTCATCAGCCTCCCAAGCCACCTTTGCATCCTTTGCCAATTCTCATCTTTAGTACTTCCACACAGCCACTAATAACCTTTTCTGAAGCCTTACACTCCTCCCACTGCCTGCAGGTCGAAGAAATCACAGTTCCACTGTGAACTGGGCAGGCACTGCTGCTCTCACAGCACCAACCTGTGTCCATTCTACAGAAACAGTCTGAGCCATTTTCGTATTTAAATCACAAGGCAAACTGCCTCAGTGATGGTCTAACATGGCACTCCCAAATTAAAGGCGACTGCTTTTTCACTTGCTTGAGCTGGTTATCACAGCATGTTGGTAGTAAACTACAGACCTCATATGACTCCATGAGCCTGAAATGGTCATTCTGTACTCATTTACTCCTGTTGTTTGATTTCTTAATTAGTTTCCACATGGAATGACCACTGCAGGTATAAGCAGTCCTTTTGCTGCAGTCAGCCTATGCTCCCTTTTACTTGGACTCTGGAGATGCTTCCAACACATTTGACCCAGGTTATTTCCTTTGTCT